ATGTCTCAGTGTGTTTTTGTGGATCAAGTTGGTGATTTTGCTTTTGTAAAAGCTGTTGGCTGTCAGTACTTTAGTCAGGGTGCATAGTTCACTCTTTATATGTGTCTTGTCTGCCAGGTGTTTGGTTCTTGCGATTAGTGTTTTGGCCACAGAGTTTATTTGTGCTGGGTGGTGGTGGGATTGGGCATTGAGGTAGCGGTTGGTGTGTGTTTTCTTCTGGTATATGGTGTGTCCTAGTGTGCCATCTGTTTTTTTGTAGATTAATACATCTAGGAATGGTAGTTGTTTGTTTGTTTCCGTTTCCATTGTGAACTTGATTTCGGGGTGTGTGCTGTTTAGGTGTGTTAGGAAATGGTTTAGGTTTTCTTTTCCATGGGGCCAAATCACGAATGTGTCATTGATGTATCTTAAACATAGTTTGGGTTTGTGGGTGGCATTAGCCAGGGCTCTGGATTCAAATTCTTCCATGAACAAGTTTGCAATGACGGGTGACAGTGGTGATCCTATAGGGGCTCCTTCAATTTGCTTGTATCTTTGTCCTTTGTATATGAAACATGTGTTGGTTAAGCAGTGTTCTGCTAGTTCCATGAGGTGGTGTGTGTGTATACACACACACACACACACACACACACACACACACACACACTCTTAAGTTTTTGCGGGTACTTACATGTATGGTAATCAGCTTTGTTCGGGTATTTTCCCATGTCATTATAGTTGTGCTTTTAAAGTTGTAGCAACGTTTTGGCAGAATCTCATCTGCCATCATCAGGCTTCTGTATTGTGTTCATCTGTGAATCAGATGTAAAAGTCTGACTCACAGTTGCTACAACTTTAAAAGAAATGTTGCTAAAACTTTAAAAGCACAACTACAATGCCATGGGAAAATACCCGAACAAAGCTGAAATATATATATATGTGTGTGTGTGTGTGTGTGTGTGTGTGTGTTGTGTCTCTGAGTCCTGAGCCTGCATTGTTAGAGGAAGAGGACTCGGAAGATGAGGAGGAGGAATTGGGAATGCCTTCCTCCCCAGAACCTTCCTCTTCGGCAATGCCTTCCTCCCAGATAATACCTCAGCTTTCAACAGATAACCGAGAGGGACAGTCTGAGACTAATCAGGAGGACGAGGGCATATTGGAGCAGCCTCTGACAGGGAATCAAGGAGATGAAGGTTGGCTTGATGCTAGGCAGTGTCGCAGGAAGAAGTGTGAGCTGCAGTGTAGGAGGCGTGGACGAATGAGAGAGTGAGCTGAGTCATGGAGACACACCCCACAGGGGATAAAAGTGGGTGTGTTTTCTCTGGAAACTCTGTATGGGACAAAGTGTAATTTTTTCTGTCAGGCCTCGGTGTATTTAGTTTCTTGACAGCTTTAGTGATTAATATTTCTGGTTATCTTGTCGAACTTGGCAGGCAGCATTTGTAATAATGCCAAGAACATTGTCTGCTTATAGGAATTAACTCTGTAAATACTGAATCTTCTTGCCTGCCTGTATTTTGTCAGAGTTTGGACTTTTCATCTTCCCTGGAAAGGTGAGACATTACATCTATCTATCTATCTATCTATCTATCTATCTATCTATCTATCTATCTATCTATCTATCTATACACATACTTACATACATACATACATATATATATATATACACACACATATATATATATATATATTTGTTTTCTGAGGTTCTCATGGGTATTTGTATGTGGATCTTTGGTTGTTCAGGTTTTCTCCCGCGTAAGATTCGAAGTATCTAGGCAACGTTTCGATGAAGTCTCATTCATTATCTTCAGGCTTCTGTCTCCGGCTCTGTGCTTCTCAGAGTGATCTCTGATCTGAGTGATCTCAGAGTGATCTATATCTATATCTATATATTCTACTATTAACTTCACCCCCTTCCTAAGAGGCCTCTGGGGGTCATGCATAAGTGCACCAATCGTGCCTATCATCCTGTCCTATTGCTTCTTTTTATTTTTCTTATAAGTATCCATCTCATGTATTCAAAACTATGTTTATTCTTATACCCGTATCTTGTAAGAGATTGACAAATCAAATAAATAAATAAAATAAATTTCCATTTTTGGTGTACAGGGAAAAAACTAATCTGACATATTTTTCCTTGAAAAATCCATACGTTCAGGAAATTATCTTGTTTTCAAGGAGTGTATGAATAATTTCTCATTTATTTGAATAATTTCTCAAATTTGAATAATTTCTGGCTCTAGAATGTTCCCTCTAACTAATCAATTGTGTAAATTATATTATCTATATATTTTGTCAGCATGTAATTGATAAATCTTGCTGAACATTTTTTCTTCACTCAAGAAGAGGGCGATAATAATTGTTCTCCTAATGAAGCTTATTTGGAAGTTAGGCAACTGTACAAGAAAAAAAATCAAATGTGAAAAGACCACGTGGGATAGGAAACCAACTTTTCTGTTTTTTAAATTCCTGGTTGATTCCATTCTAGTTTCATCCATTTCTGAAAAAGAATGAATATTGCAATTTTTCCCATGTAAAACTGTATTTGGACCAAAATGGAGATGTATTAGCAGCTCTGGCAGTCATGGCCTTGGTGATTCTTCCTAAGAACAAGGGCAACATCAACATGGCACTGGGACTCTTTGAAAGACAGAGACTCACTATCTTCCAAAAGGCTTTCTCAAGACTAAAGTTCTACAATAAAGTGGGTAAAACATTTGCAGTGTTTTCTTTCCCCCTCAAAGATTAGGACCCATTTCAAGTGGGTTGAGTCTAGTCACCAAGGTGGATTAACTTCAGTGAGAATTAAATTAAATTAGATCATACCAGACTAATCTTATTGCATTCTTTGACAAAGTGACAAAATTAGTGGACCAGAGGAATGCTGTTGATATAATTTACTTGGACTTCAGTAAGGCATTTGATAAAGTGGGATCATAACCTATTACTAGATAAAATAGAAAAATGTGGGTTAGACAGCATCACCACCAGATGGATTCATAATTGGCTGACCAACTGCACTGAACGTGTAGTCCCTCAATGGAACTGCATCTACATGGAGGGAATTATGCAGTGAAGTATGCCAAAGCTCTGTTTTAGGCCCAGTACTCTTCAAATTTGCAGATGACACCAAGCTGGCAGGAATACCCAACACTCCAGAAGATAGGCTTAAGATACAGAAGGATCTTGACAGACTTAAACATTGAGCGCTATCTAACAAAATGAAATTCAATGGTGAAAAAAGTAAGGTTCTACATTTAGGCAAGAAAAATCAAATGCATGGGTACAGTTTATGTGGTACCTTGCTCAATAGTAGTAACTGTGAGAGAGATCTTGGAATCCTAGTGGACAACAATTTAAATATGAGCCAGCTGTGTGCAGCAGCTGCCAAAAAAGCCAACACAGTTCTAGGTTACATAAACAGAGGGATAGAATCAAGATCACGTGAAGTATTAATATCACTTTATAATGCCTTGGAAAGGCCATACTTGGAATATGACATCCAGTTTTGGTCTCCACGATGTAAAAAAGATGTTGAGACTCTGGAAAGAGTACAGAGAAGAGCAACAAGGATGATTAAGGGACTGGAGGCTAAAACATATGAAGAACGGTTGCAGCCACTGGGTATGTCTACTCTAATGAAAAGAAAGACTAGGAGAGGCATGATAGCAGTGTTCCAATATCTCAGGGACTGCCACAAAGAAGAGGGAGTCAAACTATTATCCAAAGCACCTGAGGGCAGGACAAGAAGCAATGGGTGGGAACTAATCAAGGAGAGAAGCAACGTAGAAGTAAGGAGAAATTTCCTAACAGTTAGAACAATTAATCAGTGGAACAATTTGCCTTCAGAAGTTGTGAATGCTCCAACACTGGATGTTTTTAAAAAGATGTTGGATAACCATTTGTCTGAAGTAGTGTAGGGTTTCCTGCCTAGGCAGAGGGTTGCACTAGAAGACCTCCAAGGTCCCTTCCAAATCTGTTATTCTAATCTATTCTAGTCTAGAGAAAAGAAGGACTGGGGGGACATGATAGCAGTATTCCAGTATTTGAGAGGTTACCACAAAGAGGAGGGGGTCAATTTATTCTCCAAAGCACCTGAGGGCAGGACAAGAAACAATGGATGGAAACTAATCAAGGAGAAAAGCAACCTGGAATTAAGGAGAAACTTCCTAACAGTGAGAACAATTCACCATTGGAACAGCTTTCCTTCAGAAGTTGTGGGTCTTTCATCACTGGAGGTTTTTGAGAAAAGAGTGGATGGACACCTGTCTAAAATAGTATAACACCATAGTGGCAAACCTATGCCATGAGTGCCGGAAGTGGTACACAGAGCCATCTCTCTAGGCATGTGAGCTATCATCCATTGCTCTTCAGGGTTCCAGCGTGTTCGCCAACTGTTCTTCATGTGTGCGAGAACACCAGAAACCAGAAGATCAGCTTACCCAGTGCGCATGCGTACACCAGGAAGGTGATCTTCTGGTTTCTGTCATGTGCATGCGCACCTGGTCTTCCAGTTTTTGGCATGCATGCACATGTGAAGTCCAACTGGCTGGTGTGTACCTGTGTGCTAATGTGTACCGGGTGGCTGCACTTCAGGTTTCTGGTGCATGCATGCACACTGGCCAGCTTCTCCTCTTGTGCATATGCACATCAGAAAATGGAAGACAAGGTGGCTGGTGCATATGCACATGCATGCTCCCATTTTGGCATTCAGTGCCAAAAAGGTTCACCAACACTGGTATAGGGTCTCATGCTTGAGCAAGGGGTTGGACTAGAAGACCTCCCAAATCCCTTTCAGCTGTATTCTGATTGATTGATTGGTTACTGTTCATGACTACTTCCACTTTCATTTTCCATGGATGCTAAGTTCCAATTAATCTTCTTTGGCACTCCTTGTTTTTCTGCTTAGTCTTTTCCTCAGTCCCAGTGTGTGGAAAGTTGTCATCCTGGATTTGTCAAGCAGAAGCGAGAAGAAGAGCCAGATTGCTGCTATGACTGTATTCCTTGTCCAGAGGGGACCTTCTCCACTCAGGAAGGTGGGTGATGCCAGAGAAAAGGACAGGCCTTGTGGATATGTATTTATTCAGACTACTCTCAGGTTAAGACAGCTTGAAGCACAACTGGTTTATCTTCAAAGTGTACAATTTCCTGTTTAAAGAGAAGGATAGTAAAAGGACCTTGAGTGAGGTTCCAGAAAAAGATTGGAGAGGGTGGAAGATTGGGCAAGCTTTTCTACTACCAGAGAAAATATCTCTTCCATTTACCATTCACATTTACCTCTCTAGAAATATCTGAGTTCTTTGAAACTTGAGGAATCACCTTAGGTCCATTTCCTGGAAGGATTATTGCAATACACTATACATAGACCTTTGCATGAGAATCAGTGAGAAAGTATTGCTACTCCACAATAAGGTGGTGTGGATACTTATGGGATTATACCCCTATTACCACTAACCATTCCCAATTATTTGCAGTAGCTTTCTCTTTTATTCCACTAGGTATCAGCATTCTGAGTAATACACCTATTGAATGCAGAACTCCGAGGCAGGGAGATTCCTCAAAGAACATGTTTATTGGGTACATCATATTGGCACAGCCGGTGAAAACCAAGTCTGAAGTTCCCATGAGTTTTCCCTAGTTTAAAAAGTAAAAGCCCCCCCCCCCCCGATGCCATTGGTCATATTGTTCAATAGCCGGGCTGGCAGGTTGCTTGGTCACTCCTTTCTTCTTCTCACAGTCACTTGTTCAGATGACCTTGGTTCCCACAAGAAAACCTTTTGTTTTGTCAGCCAAGCCGGTATATCTACTTCTCCCTGCCCTTCCCCCTCTCAGGGCTTGTGGCAACTATGAGGCAGCAAAAGATGGGTTCAGCCAGAGTTGACACTAGATTTTAAAAGATAGACATCCTCTGAGTTCAGTATATTAAAAAGTTCCATCTGGCAGGATCCAGGAAGTTTACTTGATTCATTATTTACCTCTGATAATGTAGGTCCCTATGTAGGTTCTGCAAATTACACAACAAATCATTTAGGCCCTAGGACTTCTTCCAATTGTATATACCTGTGATGGTGAACCTATGGCACGCTTGCCATAGGTGGCACACAGAGGCATTTCTGCCGGCACACGAGCTGCAAGGCAAACTTACCTCACTGTGCATGCACATGTCTCACAACTGATTGTCGGCTGGTTTGAGGCCTTTTTCGGCCTCCCAGAGGCTTGAAAAAAAGCCTCTGCAGGATGAATAGGCCCGTTTTGTCACTTCCTGTAATAATGGAAGTGACAAAACGGGCCTATTGTTCATCCTGCAAAGCCTGCAGAGGCTTTTTTTCAAGCCTCTGGGAAGCTGAAAAAGGCCTCAAACCTGCTGAAAATCAGCTGTGAGGTGCAGTGCAGATAAAGGGGTGGTAGTGGAGGCGGCATAGAGGAGCATTGGGGGATTGCACGCACATGTGCAGGGGGAGTGGGGAGTCACCCATTGCCTTCTGGGTGCTGACATGCGAGCGTGTGTGTGCCAGAGCATGCACAATTTTTGGCACAGGATCCCCAAAAGGTTAGGCACCACTGGTATATACTATTAAAATATAGCTTTGTTTTAAGAAAATGCTATTCTTCTGAGCTTCTTCCTGCAGGAATGCCTCTTGGAAAATGCAGCTGATAATGGTTGTTGTCACAAGAAGTCATCTCTTGAAAGGCAAAAGGACAGGAGAATTGAAGAAATGAATTTTTTAAAAAGAATTAAAAGGAGAATTAAAGAAATGCTGCTTTTGGATTTCTTTCAGATATGGAAAAATGCACTAAGTGTCCAGATGAAAAATATCCAAATGAGGACAGAATCCAATGTATCCCCAAAGTTATAATCTTCCTGTCTTATGAAGAACATCTGGGCATCATCCTGGTCTCCTTTGCCCTATTTGTTTTCCTAATCACAGGCTTTGTGTTAATCCTGTTCATTAGCTACCTAGAAACTCCCATTGTCAAAGCCAACAACCGGGACCTCTCTTATATCCTCCTAGTCTCCCTCCTGCTTTGCTTCTTGTCTCCTCTTCTCTTCATTGGTCAACCAAGGAAAATCACCTGCCTTCTCCGACAAACAGTGTTCAGCATCGTCTTCTCAGTTGCCATTTCTTCTCTCTTGGCCAAAACCATCACAGTGGTGCTGGCTTTCTTGGCCACAAAACCAGGAAACAGAGTGAAGAGATGGTTGGGGAAGAGCTTAGCCAATTATATTATCCTTTCTTGTTCTGCTGTCCAAATTGTCATCTGCTCCATCTGGCTTTTAATTTCTCCCCCATTCCCTGACTCTGACTTCCACTCCCATCCTGGATTGATCATCCTGCAATGCAATGAAAGCTCTGTTATCATGTTCTACATCACACTCAGCTACATGGGCCTCTTGGCTGCCATCTGCTTCATGGTGGCTTTCTTTGCCAGGAATCTCCCTGGGACCTTCAATGAAGCCAAGCTGATCACCTTCAGCATGCTGGTCTTCTGCAGTGTCTGGGTGTCTTTTGTGCCCACCTACCTGAGCACCAAGGGAAAGTATATGGTGGCTGTGCAGGTCTTCTCCATCTTGGCCTCTAGTGCTGGTCTGTTGGGTTGCATCTTCATTCCCAAATGCTACATTATCCTTCTGAGGCCAGAGTTGAATACAAAAGAGCATCTTACAACCAGAAGAAATGTATAAATGGGAGATAGAGGAATTTGTGCTCTCAAAATATCTCAATGGGTCAGACATAGAAAATGATCCAAGCTATCCTCCATATATGAGCTTTGGTAATGATTTTGCTTGAAATAATTAAAGGGCAGTTGGAAGACCCACATCCTTGTCCAGTAGAATTGCAATATAGCTGCTTAGTTCTTTGAGAAGTCACAGCATCATATCTGTCTGTGCCTTTAGCCTACCTGAGGCCTGAAATGCCACACCCTAAATATTTGAAACATGGTGCTTATGCAATGTGAATCTTGTTGATATGCCAGAAATATTTTTGAAGGGTGGGGTTCTCTAAAAGTTCAATTATTTTAATGTAAATTATCAGCAAATGGAATTCCTGGCACTATTGGAGTCAAAATCTCAGCTGTCAATGTTCCAAGTAATGCACCCATAGAAAACAGAACTCTAAGGCAGGCAGGTT